GAAAACTGATAGTCAGACCGCAGTAACTGGGCTTCGGGGTTCAGCCTCTTCAGTGTGTAATATGTCTACCTCTTTCAAAGAGTGCTTTTTTCTTAAATGTGAAATTCAGCACTTGGCATTGCAAAACATCTGTAAGCTGATCAAAATTTCTTCCCCATGCCCACTGAAATTTCAATTTATGGCTGCATGTTGTGTGTTTGCCTGTGATTTCATGGGCTGTCCTCGGGCTGTGCCACTCTTCCAAGTTGTTGAAATTTACTTATTTGCTACCTTGCCTGTGCTTGTGCTCTCCTTTCTCCAGATTCCTGAATGGGACTGGACTCCAGCAGCTGTGACCCTGGGACTGGGTGAGAGGGAATGCTTTGGGATTGTGTTATTTTAAAGAGCAGAGTGTCACTGTTTTGTGCAGTTCTTCAAAAGGGACTGTTTTTTTCTGGTTGGAATGTGTTTATTCAGTCATTTTTTGTGGATCCAAGTGGCAGGAGGAAGAAAGAGTAAGACACGGATATAATTTAAGTTATAGACATTTACAGAGCTGTAATTTAAATTATATATTGTATATAACTTTTCCTAATAATTTTTATTATATATAATATAATAATAATTATATCTAAATTATAGTACTGGAGTTAGGTGCAACATAAGTAGAACTGAGATACAGATAATTAAATACTTACTCCATTGAGTTTGCTTAATTTTGCTTCTGAATGCAATGGACCAGAGATTTTAACTCAAGTGTTTGTTTCTCCTGTTTAGACAAGTCACTCTCAAGAGTGAGATGCTGCAAGTTGCTACAGTCCCCCCATAGGACCATGTTCACAAAGCAGAGGATGCAGTCCTAGAATTCAGGAGTTTGCAAGGATTTTCCCTCAGATCAGGTCTGAGAACATCTCTGAGTTCACATTGCTTCAAAAAGCCTCTTGTGACAGAAGCTGGGCCTTGGCCCCACGGCATGGGAGCAACTAGGTACCCGTTCCCCTGCTCACCTAACCATGCTATGGGCTGCTTCTAAAAAAAGGTCCCCACAGGGTGTTATGAGAACTTATTAAGTAGTTTGTCAAGCATTAAGAAACTCCTGGATCAGAGAAGCAGTTGTAAAGGCACAATGTAATTAAAGCTTGGCTTCCTTTATTATGTGTTATTAGCAGGACTATCCATCATATGTTCTGCACTTGGTAGATATTAAATATTATCTCATGGTCACACGTGAGAAGATGCTGTGGGATCTGAGGGTGGCAGGCACTGTGGCTGTGAGAGGCAGGTTGAGGTGTAAGGCTTCAATATCCTGTGGGGAAGAAATCCTCCACTGCTTTTTCGTTCCCTCTTCATCAGCTCTTCCATCCCCTGGCACTGGGAGGGCAGAGAGATAGCATCACCCGCTTGCCCAGCTGATCCACTTGGGGCCCTGGGAGAGTATTGTAAAGACAGATAAAGACTTACTAGGAAGCTGTATTAAGTTACGATTTTCACGTTCCCAGGCATTTTTCCCTGCCTATTGCATTGTTATTTTAAAGTTAAGTAGGGCAGGCCCGCATGAAGAACACGTGGTCTGCATTCCCCATCGCAGAGACACAGCAGACTCACTTGCAGCAAGGACCCAGGACGCACTCCCTCATGCAGTTTGCTTGGAATGTTGTACTTATTCCTGGCTACCAGCATCTTAGAGGGTAGCTGAGGCACGTGGTTTGTCCAGCCACACAAATACAGTTTTGTCATTTGGTTAAATGGCTGAAAGCAAGCTTGTGGTATTTGTGAGGTTGCCAGTCTTGCCAAAGTCAGAGCAATCAGCCAAATCGGAGTGGTAACGCACCTTTTGTTACATAACTAACTGTGCAATTTTATAATTTAGTATGTGAAATGCCGATGGCATTTATTATGTCAATTAGGATGAGCATATGTTTAGGAAGCCCTTTAGGAGGCAATCATAATTGCTCACATAGCCTTGCTTCGGCCACATGATTGACTTCCTTTGAGCAGGTGGACTGTGTGCCTTTGGGAAGCAGTTACCCACAGCCTGCCCATTTTGCTACAGCTCATCTTTGCACTTGGGAGTCTGAGCATGGAGTTCTGGCATAAGCTATTGGTCCAAGTCTGAGTTTACTGAACTTTGAAAAAAGCAAGAAACAGAAGTTACTACCTCAGTCAACACAGTATTTGACAATTAGAGACATGCCAGCAACAAGTTTTCTCAGAAGTACTTCTCTCTGCTAAGGTGAGTTCATTCCTAGGACGTGTTCTTGGTAGTGTGGAGAGGTTAACATGTGGATATGTACTGTCTTATTCAGATCTTCTCTTCACTCACATCTTGTCCAGCTGTTCCTAATATTCTCAAATTACTTCTGGGCTGATTTTTTTTCATTTTAATATGCTGAGTAAAGTTCTGTATCCTTGAAATTGTCAGAAAGAGCAATCCAGGTTTGTGTGGGCGTGCGAGAGACAGACAGACAAAAAGGCGGAATATACTTCCATACATTCCTAACAGACATTTCAGCTATGTAGTTCCACAGTGAAAAGCTTTTTCCAACATTGGTTTATTCTGTAAATTCCAGCATGAGCCACAGAGAAAACCATTTTTTTTTTCAAGCAGTCTGGTTCTGATTTTAGAAGTTGTTGTGCTTGCAGGCACAGTATGACATTTCTGTTAGGTTTCACAGCTTGAGCTACAACTTAAAAAGTTGGGGTTATTCACCTATTATACTGTACCACTGGATTTTTCTATTCAGTTAGAAATGCCTTTCATCATTAAAAGCTCTGCAAAATGCTTTGATTGTTATAAGCTATGAGAAGGACTTTTAGACTAACAATAACTTTGAAAAACTAGCTGTCGTAAAGGTGCGGCCAGGCAGAGAAGACGGTTTTGAGCTCCTATTTGTTGTCTCAAAGACATTCTGTATTGATTGTACTGAACTTTTAAATACAATTATTTTCCTCTAAGACCCAGTTCTAACAGTCTTTCTTATCATCTTAAAAGTCCAGCTGAATTCTTATCTGCTAAATCTATATCTCCAGGATCACCAGCTATCCTCCAGCTATTGACTTTCTACCTGGAGGTATGCATCTTGCCTCTGCCCATAACAAATCTCCAACTAACTACACCTCTGGCAGAAATAAAATGTTGTGACTGTTCTTTAGTTAGAATAGATTTAAAAATAAGTGAAAAGGAAAAAAAAAAAAAAAAGGAGAGAGTAAGATATACGAAGGAGGATAGCTGGTCTCAAGGCATGATGATAAGATTTTGAGCACGTTAGTGTTTCATAACCTTCCTTCAAACAGAGTTTCAAGTCTAGGCACACTGACTCACCCCTTTGGCCATTAGTGCAGCTATGGCAGGAGTGGTGCAAATTATTACATGATATTTTATAGCCACATCTTTGAAATGTGAATCACTGTCTTTTTGAATCTAAAATACTGTATAATACATATTATTGGAGTATGGGTCACTCTGTGTTCTCCACAACTGTTCCATAGTACCACCTTGAACAGTAAAGTCAGAGTAATCTATAAAAAAACTTCATTTGGGTAGAAGTTGTTAGTGGTACAAAACATGGTAACGGGAAACCTGGGAGGCCTGTTCCTGTTACCACAGAAGGCAGTTTGATGAAAGATCATAAATTAAAACAGTTAATTTTTACAAAAGACAAATAGTTTTGTATAAGCATTCAACCTGATACTTCATTATAAAGCCCTGAATATGACATAAGTGGTGTGATCTCATAATTCTGTGCTCTAATAGGAGCAGTAAGGTTTATACTCTCTTGAGTATGGTCACAGCCAACCCTGTGTAACCTGAGGGCTGTAACTTGTGTAACTTTTGCTTGTGAGGGTGAAGGAGAATCTCTGCTCCCTCCTTCCTGGCTCTGATCCACTCTTCTCCCCAGTGTATGTGAGCCACTAGATGGGGACAGTGCCCACATCGCCTAACCTGGTCATGTCTAGCCACTGGCAGCTGGGCTGAGGCTTCATTAAAGGGCTGTGACCTTGAAAGCTGCTGAGCCTCCTAACAATTTGATGTGGGTACTTTTTAACATTAACAAGCAAGATGGCAGTCTCCAGGCTCTCAGCAAAACAAGATGAGTATCAAGAAAGGCACAAGTGGTGGTTGAAGCATGCTCACAGCTTGAGTGGTGAAAGGAAGGCCAAGTTAAAGCATCCCTGGAAGAATAAGGAGCTTCTAACTTTACTTGGTAGCTGGCAATGCCACTGTGGCGGAGTGGTTTCCTTGCATGCCTGCAGACCAGCACCTTTGGCCATACAGTGTCATGCTGAACCACATAAATGGATGGCTGTGACTCACTTAGAAATGCACATTCATAGGAGATAACAGCCCGTGCAGGGGCTGGGGGAAGGATGCAGAATGACTTTGCTATCACAGTTTAGCTAAGAAGAGCATAACAGCACTGTCAGTAGTACCTCCGCTTCCTACAGGGTTGTATAGCAGAGGAACAGGGCATGAAAAAGCATCCTCTTTTAATGAGCAGATACAGGATTTTTTATGCACACAGTCAGAGTCCAAAAATAAAACAGGAGCATTAATCACTTAAACACAAAGAGAAAACCAAACCAAACAAAAACTCAAACCAAGTCAATCTTACAATCAGAATCCGTTTCCTTCCATATGCTCCCAAGGACTTCATTACCACCAAGCCATGCTACTTCAGAGCCACTGGGACTAAATTTCTCTAACTGTAATGCAGCTCATCTGTTTTGCAGTGACGCCTGCTCAGTGGCTTGTCTTTCACTATTTGTGATTTAAGCCAGTAGCTGCCCCTCCAGGCTCTGTGTCGCTGTTTCTCCGGTCTTTAGGCAACTGTTTTTTCTATCCTGTGGTAGCCACTTCCTCAGTATCTTTCATCATTTAATTATTTTCCTTTTAGCCTCTGTTACTCACTTTTTGCTACCTGAAGTTTCTTCCATTTTGTGCCATGCTACTTCCAAGTGCAGCCTCCTGAACAGCTGGGTTAATATTTGATGGTGTGGCTGGCAGAGGCAATGAGGTTCTACCTCTCTGCTTGGCGAGCCCTCCTCTTGCTACACTGCTGCCAGTGTAACTGTCGTGGTAAGTCAGTATTTAAGCTTAAGTTTGGTTAAATGCTTCATTTGGATGGGACAACTGTGAGCGTGGCTATGCAAGGAAACAAAAGGCATACTCTCTACCCTCTCTCCATGTTTACTGTCCATGCTTTTTGTCTGGGTTTGTTGTTATTCTCTTAAATGCTTCCGGTGGCTGCAAGTTCCTAAGCAGTGAAGACCAGTAAGGTACAAACTCTGTCAAAGCAATGCAGGCTGTTGGGTAACTTTTTAAGAAATACGTTATCGTGATAGTGGGTTTCACTGTGGTCACAGCCCTGGGGATTATTTCATGTCCTGATGTGACCATTCCCTTTCCAGCCTGTGGCTGAAAATTTGGCAATCCAGATGACAATGTTCTTCCTTCATTGTTTATACTGTGCTTCAGGTCTCTGCCTTGGACTGAAGCTTGATTGCTTCAGTCAACAACACTGACATTCTTACAGTGTATCACAACACTGACATTCTTACAAATCAGTGCTTAATTTTCTTTATCCAAGACAAGCTGTGTTAGACACTGTACAACTGTGGGATCTGAATTGTTGAAAACTACCTGCACAGCAGCAAAATGGCAAATGCTGTTGATGTCTGCTAGGGCACGGCACCACCACCTCCTCTAAAAGCTCCTCCTGCCAATCATCCATGCATCGACTAGTTTCTGTCAATATGGCTTTTACTGTAAGGAGCATGAGACTGCCAAGGTGGCATCCACTCTCTGCTGAGGCTGCCAGTGGTGGTTGACACCAATTGTAAATGAATGTAGGATTACTTCCTCTCCTTTCCCCTCTCCTCTTCCCACAAGAAGGGCCTTGAAAAATAGAAGTTCAACCAGATAATAATTGCCTTTTTATTTCACTGGGGTTTTCCGTTTACCTGTACAGGTTTCCTTGCTGAAAGTGTTTTATTTTTTTATTTATTCATAGGTAATAGAAGAAGTAGAAATAAACTCTGGTAGTAACAGGCCAATTTTAAATTTCCTTCCCCCTTTCTTCTACACCATTCAAGAGGAATTGAGGCTTTAATCTTCCTGAAAGGACAGGAAATTAATTATGTAGCTATTATGAGAGCACATAAATGTTATGAATACAAATAACTGTAAACATTGCAAACAACAATCTGTGTGACAACTCTGTCACATGTCCTCTATGCTAACCCTTTTGGTGGTATAATTACCCTCTCAAAGATGGCAATCATTTCATTGCTTGATATGTCCAGCAGTTTATAAAAAGATTCATCGTGGATGAACATGGACCAGGTTAGCCAGATGAAGCTGAGATTTTTTTTTTTGAATTTATATTATTATGTAGTCTAAATTTTCTAAATAAATTATTAGTATGTCAGACTCATAAAGATTATCTGTAATGTCACCAGGACAGTCAGACTTTGCTTCCTCTGGGGCTTCTCTGATCATTTTTGCTGCAGCAGGGCATGGCCTTAAGGCAGTGATTCCTGTTGTCATTGCAAAAATAATTGCAGTCACTTTGGAGCTGTAGCAACGTTTCCAGCTGTACCTAATTTGTGTCAGAGGAATTGATGTGTTGTACATGTGAGAGAAAAGAAGCAGTACTTTCACGATTAGGGCACAAGGTTGGGAAGGGGCGGTTGGGATGCCCACACTCCTGTTCCTGCAGATTGCTCCCCGATCAGAGCAGGGTTTCAGCTTTACCTTTCAGCAGGTTTGCTGGTGGGAGCTGTGTGTTTGGTCTCCTGCCAGCAGCAAGCAAGAATTTCTGTCCTTGGGAACATCCATGAGGCAACAAAATGTGGAGGTTGGTTGTATTTTGATGTGTGGTACATGGGGAAATCACCCATATGGATCTACCTGTGTGTAGTGGTACAAGAGAATGTGGCAGAGGAGTGGAGAAGCAGCGTGATAATGCCCACATCCCTGGTTGCCCCAGGTGCAAGGTCTTTGACAGTGTAAGAAAAAACAAAGTTCATAATGCAGTGCTATTTTTGTCATGCTTTATTGATTTTTAATTAATTTTACATCTATTTTTAAAGCCACAATCCTGCAAGTTCCCAAGCCATATGTTGCCATTCTTGCAAGCCGTCATGTTGACTTGAGATGGGCTTCCCCTGTGAGTGAGGGATGTGGAGAGCAGCTGAATGTTCTCCTTCTTTCTCGCAAAACACAGCTGCTGGTAGATCAAACACCAGCTCGCAGCCACCCCACTTCACTGAGAAGTTGTCAAAGAATTTCCTACCAGCACCCCTTGCAGTGCCTGAACAATCCCCACCTCAGCCTCTGAACATCTTTTGTCTTGTTTCATTTTGCTGCATTTCACCTTGATAGGACCAAATAATTCCTGTATTAAGACAACAGGCAGGGCTGTTTTCTGCACTATAGAGAGATGTTTGTTTCTTCACAGTTTTTCATAAAGCTCCCATGAATATCTTTACAAAAGGAAACATTTGGCCCAGTATAGAGTATTTTAAACATTTGCAAGGGTTCTAATTCCATTGAAGCTACTGCTAATCAGGAGACACAGCTTATGCAGAACTTAGTCTTGCAAGCAAAAACTATTATTTTGCAGGCACTTAACATAATTTCTATATCAGAATAAGATCTAAAAAATCATTGAAGTAAATGTATGACATTTAAGCATCTGGTTAGAGTTAGTGGAGCTATTATTTTACCTTCACGTCAGAAAAACCCTGCCATGTTAAAGTTTAATCTCTCAGGTTTAGAGCCCATGAGCTTTGCATAAAAATAAGGTTTTATTTATATGAAAATATGCTCTGTCATAGACAGACTTCTTTTATTATTCTTTCCCCCATTTGCCCTCAAACGTGTGTGTCTGAGGCTGACACATTGTCTCAGCAAATTAAGTCAAGCTGGAAGCAAGGGTAGAGTATTACAGCAGAGCAGCAAAAAAGATTTACATTTTCAAGCAAGAGCAGTAATTAGGCCATTGCATATTTTATATTCTCATGTTTATTTTCAAAGCAGTATAACAAAATAAGCCTAGATATAATGAGACCTAAGTGCTCCAAAGAGCAGTTGGGGTTCATCAAGTAAAAACTACAAATTACTCTTCAGTTTTGCTGCCACCCACAGAGTTTACATCTCTAAAATACCAGCAGACAGGTGCTTTGGCCAGAGCTAATTGGATTTGTAGTTAGTGACATACTGGGTTTCTGTATTACAAATTATGAAGGAAATAGGCCTATTTTTTAGTGATACAGTACATGGCATTGTGTTGTCCCCTTCAGCATGTGGGGTATTTGGTGCTTTGGGAAGTAATGAAGTTTTGAACTGATTATGCTGGTGCAGGTGGTTATAACTACTTGACTTCAGGCAGATAAACTTTGAATGCAGGGGCCCAGGTCCATTGCTGCTGTGGTATGAGGATGGTCTAGAGGGCCCCAAGCTCTAAGTTCTCATGACCCAAATTGTCTTCTCTCTGGCTACACATAAAGTGTTTGTATGCTTGTGTGCATTAGGTGAAGCTGCCGCTCTCTCATGCTGTGCTGAGGAGGTGGTTTGGGCAGTAACCATTATTCTTAGCTGCATTTCTTTCTTCTTTCATTATTTGTTAGCTACTTTATTGCAGTCTTTGTTTACACACAATGCTGCTTTTCCAGCAGAAGTAATGTCGCCACAAAATCAGCTGATGGAACTGCAATTGTATGCTAATTTAAGGTTTTCAACTGTTAAATGCCAGTAGTATTTCTCTCTATTTTGATATTTTTCTTTACACTGAGAGTATCTGTGTAAATTGAGCTCAATTTAAGAGAATAGAAGTCCCTGGAATTAACTCTCCTTTTTTCTGCCCCCTTCTTTGCTTCACCCACCCATTCTAAAGATGCAATCATTCCCTAATATCTGCTAAAATACTTCATAGCCATATACATACTGTAAGTATGGTAAGAGAACACAACGCAGAACATAATTCCCTGGCTTTCCTCCCCACAGATCTGATGGCACGCAAGCCTTGCTGCAGCTCTCATGAATAGGAAACAGGTATTCCCACCTGCCCCCTTTTGAATTGCATCAATTCTGATTATGAGCCAGAAAAAAGAAGAAGAAATGGAGGACAGCTCCCCGCCGCTCTGTGTCACCTGCGGCCAAGCGCATTTACCGGAAGAAAACCACTTGTACAGCTACACCGAAGAAGTAGATGATGATCTGATATGCCACATTTGCCTGCAACCTTTGCTTCAGCCATTAGATACACTCTGCGGTCACACCTTCTGCACATCCTGCCTTACAAACTTCCTTGTGGAAAAAGACTTCTGCCCCATGGACCGCAAGCTTGTGATTCTCCAGACATGCAGGAAGTCCAGCATACTAGTGAATAACCTCCTGGACAAGCTAATGGTTAGCTGCCCTTTCACAGAACACTGCTCAGAAGTCATGCAACGGGGTCACCTCGAACAGCATTTCCAAACCCAGTAAGTTGTTGTTGATAGACCTTTTTTTCACTCTTTTTCTTGAGTAGAGGAAAAAACATCATCAGTTAGTGCTGATCAAAATAAACAGTTAATGTAAAGAAAGATTTGTTGATTTCATCCCCAATGAATAGCTACAGTATCATTAATTTAGAGCTGAATTTAGTCCATTATATGACAATATCTCACTTTTTTTTTTTTTTTTTTTTAGAAACAAATGCATTCAAGGTACTTCATGCTATAGTTAGCAGTTCTGGGTGGATACCGTGTGGTTAGCTGCATAATGGAAGTGTGTATGTAGTCCAAAGAGATCTGTGAGTTTTGGGAAGCTGAATTATTATAAATATTTTAATAGCACATTAAGGGTTTTGTAATTGCCCTTTCTTCAAACCTTTTTTGAGTCACAAATGACCTATATGAGAAGTAGAGCAGAAAATATTCTGGTTTGGAATTGGTATTTGGAGCTGAGTGCTCCTTTCTTCCAGGTGAACACTTACCCAGGGCACTGCACCGTGGGGCTCACAGAGTGACATAGTCTGGAAAAGCACCCTGACTGAACTGCCCCTGCAGACTTACCTCTCCTCATGACTAGGATACTCTCCCTCCTGCCTCTGGGAATGACACCCCCCAGGGAGCAGTTAGGTTCCTCTGCAAGGAGAGAACTGATGACAAATGATTCTCTCTTTTGTAGAGTAGAAGAATGTGCCACTGCTTTTGTCTAGCATCTTCTGCCTTTTTTTAAAGGAAAGAGTAAATATTCAGGGCTGTGGTTTCTGATGGCAGACAAATGATTTGGCATAGTCTGGGTAACAGCACCTCAGGTTGAAGGAGAGATGGGGTCTAAGAGATGCTCTTTTCTGTGATCTGTATCTGTTGTCCAGTGAAATTACTTCCCCTGTGGTTTGCCGGTGTAAATCACGTCGCTTAGCTGTGTGCTTTGGCATGTGCATTGTGGAAGAAGCCTTGAACAACCCGTGCAGGGCTCCAGACTGCTGCTGGGAGCACATTCCTGCACAGACATGGCAATGCTGAGGGTCAGAGCATCCGTGGTGAGCAGGCTGGTGAGCCGGAGAGCAGGGATGTTCACATGGCTGCACACTTCACAGTCTTGGAGAGCAGGGATGTTCACATGGCTGCACACTTCACAGTCTTGAAGCCCGTAATGGGAAATGGCTCTGCAGCCTGCCATTCAAACATGTCCCCATCTGAACTGGAGACCTCATTTCCTGAAGCACCTGAGTTCTCACTAGGAATTTATTCACTGAAGTTACAGTGTTTTAAACAACCAAAAATGTGACCAGTTTGTGCTACTGAAACTGGAAAAAAGCCCATTAGCAACAGGTTTATTGACCCCTTGCAGGGATCATTAGACCACTTTTCACATGCTAGAAGATTGGTGTTTATGGATCTGGGTGCCTTTGGCCCACCCATTTCTGGACCTGGCTTTCCTTGTGAGGGTGCTGCTGGCTCATGGCATGGCAGCAGGTCCCAGACCAGGCCAGCAGTGCTCTGTGAGGTTAGCTGTCTGATGCTAAGGGGAAAAAATAGCAAAGTTAATCATAATCTTCTGCCTTCGGTTAGGACTCCTCTAACAGGCCTCAAATGCTAATTTCAATAGTAATGCAGGTAGAGGGGCTGTCAATCTTCTGTGAGCTGCTGTCACTGAAATCATGTTTCTCTACAGATTCCAGCCACAAAATCTTGAGGCCCTAATGCAAACACCCTTTCCTTTTGCAATACATGTAACTGACTTTAATGTGTTTTAGATCTTCCAGTTTGTGTTAGTTTTTTTTTGACATGGTAATTCTGTGGCCATAAAAGTAGCAGGACACCCACCCCCACACTAATAAATAAGCAGATTAGAATATTGGTTTTTAGGTGAAAGTCACACAACCAGCACAACTGATTTCTAGTGTCGATTCTCCTACGTGGACATGTGCAAGTCACTCCAGTGTCTGAGTATCTCCTCCTTAAAGGTAGTAGTAAAGACGCCCTTCACTACATAACTTACAGAATTGCCTGCTATAAACCATGATTTGGTCCTGTAAATGCATAAAAAATTTTATTCTAGCACTTTTTATTGAATGTCAATGGCCTGATCTTTCCCTCAGGATCTTCAAGATCCTATGCCTCTGGCTTGCTTGGCCTGAGCCCAGCCAGGGCTAGAAAGAATTGTCTCAGTAACATGTCCCCAACAGTCTTTTGAGGTTCCTCCTTCCCTATGTCATGCTCCTTGCACGAAGCCCTGTCTTTGCAAACCCAGGGAGTGGGAGATTGGAGAGGTACACCAAGGGTCTTACTACTTGTAAGGTAGTTCAGTGCAGAGCATTGCTACATAGGCTGGACGTTTGCTTCTTTGCTACTTGTGACATGGATTTTCCTTCCTCAGAGTGGCTGGGAGGGCTGAGCTACCTTAAGACCAAAGGGCAGAGACAGAAGAACAGGAAGCCATAGGGAACTTCTGCTGTTGGGGGTTTCAGTTCTCCTGGCAGTGGGTAGTATAGCCTTGCTGGCATTCCCACTTCATGGAAAAAATAGGAAGGAGCATTCTGAGTGACCTCTAAAGGTGGCCTTCAGTGACCTTGTTCTTGCAGACGCTGTGCAGTACTGTTTGGGTTTTGGTTTTTGTTTTTTTTTAACACAGCATTAATTAATTGTCGCCCAAGATATCTTATGCCTCTGCCTAATTTTATTCTTGAAAGTGTAGAAACCTCTCTTGCCATCCCACCTCCAACTCGTGGCAGGGCAGGAGAGAAGGACAAGAAGGATGCTGTGCTCCCTCATGCCAAGGGACAGATTGAGCAGCCTGAGCTGACGCTGTTCTCTTTAACTCTGATGAATCAACAGAGAGGAGACAAAGTCTTGGACTTTCCTAATAAAACTAATATAATAATAATCATAAACGACCGGTGCCTGTGGTGAGAACAGCTCAAACCCCATCTGAAATCTTAACAGAACATGATCTGTGTTCTCAGTGAATAAGTTAAAGTAGATTCTGCCAGAGTTACCAGGGCAGTCAGCAGTCCTTGCATTTGTTGCATGATTCAGGTTCAGACCAATCACGGTTTTCAGAGATAATATGAAAGTTTCCCCTGATCAGAGATGAGGTCACTGATGAGACAAGGTGAGCTTACTGTTTTATGCTTTGTAATTGACAAGAGAACTTCATAATTTTTTTTTAAACACTGGTTACCATGGAGCAGACCACTGAAAGCATCCTTATTTAAAATGTTTGCTCTTGTATCCTTCAAAAAAACCCTGAGAAGAGACATGTCCTTGGATTATTACATGATTTATGTTTGTACAAAAACATCTGACTGGATTTGGGGAATTCAGACAGAGATGCAAACAGCTAGCAGTTGACTGTGATCTTTTGCGGTGTTTTACTTTAAAAAGGTGTGGTCTTCTGATATCGCCTGCTACAAGACTCCACGGGGGGCATTTTTTCCCCCCTTGTCAGACAGCTACACCCTTCTGTGATGCAGTTTAGCTCGTAACCCATCTGCTTGTGGGCAGTGATGTAAACATACCAGCTGCCTCTGAAGAACCACTCTGAATCCTGCAGGAGGCAGGTCTCTTCCCTGAGCATCGCTCTCCTCTGCAGCATAAGTCACTGTCTCGCCAACCACGCTGTGCTGTCCCTAAACCCTCACATCTACCCATCCGAGAGTCAGATCGAGTAATCCTCTTACAGGTCAATGATTTTTGCAGTGTAGCTTCGCTTAAGGGATTTAAGCTTGATTCGTAATGTGCTACCATTGCGTTGAAATGGAAAGGCTTGCTTAGAAGGGGCTTGGCTGGCACAAAAGCTTCTCGTTGTGTGTCCCACCAGCACAGAGAGACGGTGGGAAGGAGGAAACCTAGCAGCAGTGCCAGCACTGCACTGAAAATGAAGGCTCTCCTGTTACTGGTCCTACCTTGGCTAAGTCCTGCAAACTACATAGACAATGTGGGCAACCTGCACTTCTTGTACTCCGAGCTGTGAGTACGCACAGTCGCGTTGGCGTCGTGCTCTCTGTCTGTCTGTCTCACCCGAGTGGCGGGAAGGGGCTCACCATGAGCATTTTGGGGCGTCTGTCTGTCTGCCTGTGTGTCTGTGCCTGTGCATACGTGCAAAGAAAATCCTGCAACATCTTGCTAACAGCTTCAAACCGTGCTGCTTCCCATCCAGAGAGCTAATAATAGCAGTACGTCCCCATTGCTTTCTGCTTTGGAAGCAGCTGAGACATACTGAGTGAAGCTGCTTTTTTCCGTATCAACTTGCTTTTCTGTGCCGACGATTTTGGTGGTTGTTGGGTTCGCCTTTTTTTTTTGTTTTTTCCATTTTTAAATCTGTGTTTCTTCTTTATTTCCCGTGAATAGCTTTGCAGGGAGCTGGGCAGAGAGGAGGGCATCAGAATAGACACCCCCAGTAGAGCACTCTCTGTGTGTACATGCATAATGTTCTGTGTGTAAAGCTGCATGCCTGTAGCAAAACGCTGAGAAGCCTTTCACCAGAAATAATTCACTTGAGATAGGAAAGAAATTTCCCGTATTTCTGTTTTTGCCCACAGCAGAATGTTATTTTCTCTGTAATGCAAATTTAAATGTAGCAATCCATTCATACATCTTCATGGTTTAACAAAACCCACCTCAAACAACCCCATAGCTCATCTTTCCTACCCATAAAACAAATATTCTATGGTATCAGCTGTAAATGTTACAACTTTAATTTGTGCTTGAATGTTATTGTACTTAGTTAATAGGGCTTTTATGACTAGAAATAGATATTTGTTCCAATATGTTTTCATTAATTATCTTTTGTTTGTATTTTAACAAATTGTTAACTTTCAAGATCTTCATTGAGATAATGAATGAAATGGCTAATTCCTCTCAAAAATGAATAATTACTGTATTATGCCTACGTAATGGAGAATGTTTTAGTAAGAGTTGTGATTAGTACCAATGACAGTAATTTCCAAATGACTTCGTCTCTACAGAAATAGAGAGACAAAAATAGCTGT